AGAGCTTTAGAATCCCAATACCAAGGCCTGCCTGAACCCTGAAAGGCAAGAGAGGAAGGGCTCAGGAGACAGCTCAGTGGGTAAGAGCACTTGCAATTTAAGCATGAGAGCCTGAGTTCAAATTCTAGCACCCATGAAAAAAAACTGGACATTTTTTTGCCACACATGCCTATAATCCCAATGTGTGGTAGGGGGAGGGAGGAGGCTTGCTGTCAGCCTAGCATCAGGTTCAGTAAGAGACCCTGTCTCAAAGGAATAAGGTGGAGAGTAATAGAGCAGGACATCCAACATCCTCCTCTGGCCTCCATGTGAGCACAAGAAGACACATCACACACACATGTGCACATACACCATACATTTTCATACATGGATGGAGGGAGGGAGGGAGGGAGGGAGAGAAGGAAGGAAGGAAGGAAGGGAGGGATGGGGGGGACTAAATCCAGGGTACTGTGTATGCTAGGCAAGCACTGTACCACTGAGCTATGTCCATAGTTGTGCTGGACAGCTTTAGTGTCAACTTGACACACCTGGGTTGAGGGAGCCTCAGTTGGGGAATTGCCTCTATTGGACTGGCCTGTGGCCATGTCTGAGGGGCATCTTCTTGATGAGTGATGTGGGAGGGCCCAGCCCACTGTGGGTGGTGCCACCCCTGGGCAGGTGGGCCTGTGTTGCATAAGAAAGCAGGCTGAGCGGGGGCCAGAGGAGCAAGCCAGTAAGCAGCGTTCCTCCATGGCCTGTGCTCCAGCTCCTGCTTCCAGGTTCCTGGCCTGAGTTCCTACCTTGGGCTCCCTGATGAACTCTGACCTGGGAGTTGGTATTGGTCAGAGTGTTTTGTCACAGCAATGGAGAAACAAACCAGGACAATAGTCAAAGAGAAAAGTAATAAAACAAAACAAAACAAACAAAACAAAACAAAACAAAATAGACCTGACCTGAAGCCAGGCATGGAGGTATACACCTGTAATCCTGGGACTCAAAAAGCCTAAGGCAAGAAACTTCAAGTTCAAGGACAGGCATCTGGGCTACTGCAGTACTTACTATCTTGCCTCAACCTACTCTCAATTCAGAGAGAGAGAGAGAGAAAGAGAGAGAGAGAGAGAGAGAGAGAGAGAGAGAGAGAGAGAGACACTAAGAGATCCAACATCGTAATAACAGGGGTTCCAAAAAGAGAAAATGAAAGGACTGATCTAAGAAATCAAAGAGGACACTAAAAATATACCATAAGCTTCTACAAAGGAATAAAATTACTAATGTTGATACAGAGACTAGAGAACCAGAATTCTGGATTCTTGGTATTTACACAGCAAACAAGAAAGCAATGGTATATTGACCCCACATTTGACTGAAAGCAGTTTCCAACCTTTAGCTGTATATTTACTACAAGCACAGAGCAATGACATTTTTTTTTAAAGCAGCATCTCAAAAACAGCACTTCCTATGCCCAAGAAGGTATTCAAGGATGTGTTCTTCCAAAGGATAAAGTAAATCAAGAAAAAAAAAAGATATATAAGACAGATAATTAGAAACCCAGCACAAGAGACAGGTAGAGGGGGACCTCTCAAGATTCTTCTTATACTAGGCATAGAAAGCAACCTAATCCAGACCTGAAAAGCATTGCTCAGAAAGCAGATGTGAGAAAGGCTGTTGTCATCAAGATCCCAACAGTTCTGAATATAACACCAGAATGTCCAGGAAATATAAGAATGTGGAATATTCTATTATTTTCATCCCCAAGAAGGTCGGAGGGGATGAGATATGATACAAAGCTGAGGTAAAAAGATCATCTCTGCACAGGAACAACTCTGGTATGAGATTACTTAGATACCAATGACAGCAGGCAGTAGAAATTTACTATGTAGCTAATGTAACTAATAATTAGTTGGAGTTTTGCAACCCTGTAGGCATATTTAGCACAAGGAAGAAATAAGTTTATATACAGTATATTTAAAAAGGGACAGAAGGGACTCCCATCCTTATTTTGAAACAATTTAGTATCCTATAATATCTCATGAAATGCATGTTCTGAAACATAATCTACCCAATGCTGGTCAAATATATGCATGGAGACTTCAAAGTTAAGCTCAAATAATACACAATAATCAGAGTGCTGGATAGACCTTTTAACTTCCTCTTTGTTTTTTGGCAGCGCAAAGATCCCCACCACCAAATAATGTATCTTCTCTTGTTTAAGACCATGGCTTTTTGGTGTAGAATCAATTTTTAAAATATAAGATACGACCCAGATTCAATTCCTAGCACCCACCTGGTGGCTAACAACCATTCATAACTCTAGTTCTAGAGGATCCAACACCCTCTTCTGACCTCCTAGGGCAGTGTACAACACGGGTGCACTTATATACATGCCATGGTATACTCATACACATAAAATATAAGTAATAAAAAAGATATAAAATACGGCTTCTATTTGCTTTTTAAAAAATGGTGCCAAGGATAGAACCCCCAAGGTCTTGTACATGCTGGACACATGGTCTACCACTGAGCTACACCCTCAATTGGGATTTTATTTTTACTACTGCTTAAGCTAATATAATGTATATTTTAAAAATATGTATAAGAGGAAATATATTCAAGTTGACCATCCCTGGTTCAAATAGCTGAATATACAACATGCTCCTAAATCTGAAATACTTCTAGTCCCAAGCATTTCAGATAAGGGATATCCAACTGTAGTTATTAGCTTCAATCTGATAGTAGACATATATAGGATATATGTAAACACAACTCTCAATTGTAACCTACACTGAAAATTATCTTTAGTAGATAGACTGTTTGAAACTGCAAATACATATTCTCTAGAGAAACCTTGTTAGAATGGGAATCTTCAGTTGACCCTTGGAAGCACTACTGTAACACCTAGTAAGATACTAAAACACCCCATGGTCTGGGTTCAGTACTTTGCAGGAAAATATAAGCAGAGTTCTCATCTAGAGGTCAACATAATTCCATGCTTTCACTATCATAACCTGTATTCTGACCAACAGAAGTCACAACAGAACACATGGGGGAGATTTTAAGCAGTAAACAAACAGGAAAGAAAAATAAAATTGCAATTTGATGATTCTTGTTTAGTCTGACTTGCTTTTCTCTGAAAATCCCAGGAAATGTTCTGCTTCAACTTTCAAGGAATGAACTTGCAGTTTCTGGACAGAGATGATCTCCTTCCTGGAGCTCTGAAAGGAAAGAGTGCCTGTGCCAGCTGCAGCCCCACGCACAACTGCTGATCCCTTAGCAAATGATTCAACCTCAGCAGTATGTTTGGTGGACAGTTATTGAGAATCATACATTTTGCGAAGGGTGTGTTGAAGATACAAACGAGAGCCAGGTTGGAGGGGAGGGAGTGGGCATGGATTTGATCAAAACACCTTACATGCATGTATGAAATCCTTAATAAAGTTTTTGTAAAAATTTAAAAAAAAAATGAGAGCCAGGTGTTGTGGTGCATGCCTTTAGTCCCAGCACTTGGAAGGCAGAGGCAGGTGGAAATTTGTGAGTTCCAGGCCAACCTGATCTACATAGCTGAGGCTACAGGGAGATCCTGTCTCAAAGACAAATAACAAAACAAAACCCCTATCTCCTGGGAGACACAGCTCAAGAACAGCAACTTGCCTAGTATGCCAGCATCCACATAGCAGCTAACAACTGTCTGTAACTCCAGTTCCAAGGGAATCTAACGCCCTCTTCTTACCTCATACCTACATGCAGGCAATACATGCATATACATAAAATAAAAATAAATAAAATAAAATAAAATAAATAAAATAAAATAAAATAAAATAATAATAAAACGAAAGTACAAATGAAAAATAATCCAATGTTGAGGTCTTGAGGAAAAATGGAGAAAATGAAATGTAATTTGCAGTGGAGCTGCCTGCCAGCAACAAGGGGCTGTTCAGCAAGAGGAAACCAGTTTTCTTCTATTCCCTCTCCTTTGCTTAAAAGTTAAAAATACAGATAGTACAGATGGGGAAGGGCAGGGTTTGGGTGTGCAGCTGCTGTCCAACACAGTAATAGAGTAGGTACGCCTCCATATAGCCACTAGACATTTTCTTTTGTTTATCCCACAGACACCTCAAAATCATCAAATATTAATGTATAATTTAACCTTGGAAAGATAAAATTGCAATTTTTTTTAAATCTAGGTAAAAATAAAAACACGATCAATGGTCAAAATTCTGGTTAAATAAAGAATTTAGTTTACTTACATAAAACATTTTCTCATAAAAACAATTTTTTTTTTTTTTTTTTGAGACAGCGTTTCCCTGTAGCCCCAGCTGGGCTGGAACTCACTATGTAGACCAGGCTGGCCTCGAACTCACAAAGATCCACCTGCCTCTGCCTCCCAAGTGCTGGGATTAAAGGTGTGTGCCACCATGCCCAGCAAAAACAATTTTTTTTATAAAAATATATTTAATAGAATTTACTTTAATAAAAATACTTTTTAGCAAAATGGATACAGTTGAACATAGGAAAAAAAAAATCTCCTGAAATATAAACCTTTATCTCAGAAGATATTTGAAGATTCTACCTAGCTCCAATATTTTATTGATTCCAGTTAACTCCAATCTCAGGAAATGGCTCAGAAGCAGTGTCGTGGCTTAAGAGTTACCTATCTCATACCTTATATGCCAATCTTCTAGCTTGTGTGTCAGTAGTTGCTGACCAGCAAATAACACAATCGTTTACTATGATTTGGCTTCAAGCATTTTCCTTTTCTTTCTTTCTAGTGGTATTACAGATCAAACCCAGAGCCTTTTGCATGCCAGGCAATCATTAAACTATAATACCAGCCCTAAACATTTTCTTTCACTAAAAAACAGTTCCAAGATACCTAACAAAGGTCACTTAAACAGTATCAATACATTCCAATAAAATACAAAATAGTTATAATACTGTAACTCGATCACACATACCCAACATCTAGTTCATGAGCTGGTTTTGTTTTTAATGAAGTAAATCACCACAAATATTAACTATATTACCTTCATAATGTTAACTAAATCTGTTTGATAGTAGCGGTCCTGATGTGCATTTGCTGCTGCTAGTGTAAGAAGGTAATCGTTCCTTGCATGGGTAGCTTTGGAGTTACACTCAGAACGCCGGGCTTTTAACTACAACACAGTAAAAGACACACACACACACACACACAAAATTAATGCAAACTGAAACTGTACTGCAAAACATGTAAGATTACTGCTCTTAGTGGCGTGGTGACACATGTTTGCAATCCCAGAACTTGGCACGCTGAGGCAGGAAGATCTTGAGTTTGAGACCAGTCTGGGCTACATAAATAAGATGGGAGGGAGGGAGGGAAAGGAAGGGGGAAGGAAGTGGAAAGAGAGAGGGGAAAGTGGAGGGAAAAGAATACTATTCTTAATTGACAGTTAATGGCTTCTCAGCAAGAAGAAAGACAACTATGTGGAAAAAAATTTATATATGTAAAATTATTCATCACTACTGAGAAATGATGCAGTGACGAGACGTATGAGAGAGTGTATGTATATGTGTGTGTGAGTTTGTTTGTGTGTGTGTGTGTGTGTGTGTGTGTGTGTGTGCGTGCGTGCATGTGCTTCTTTGAGACAGGGTCTTCCTGTAGCCCCAGCTGGCCTGGCCCTCATTATGTAGATCAGGCTGGCCTTGAACTCACAGAGATCCACCTGCCTCTGCCTCCCGAGTGCTGGGATTAAAGGTGTGAGCCACCACGCCCAGCCAGAAAACAGTTTTTTAAACAATTTAAATTAAAACATTTTTATTCCATTTATTTATTTATGGGAGGGAGCAAGGCATATGTGTACTATGGTACACATGTGGAGATTAGAGGACAACTCACAGGGAGTCAGTTCTCTCCTTCACTGTGTGGGACCTGGGGATTGAACTCAGGTCATCGTGCTTTGCAACAGGCACCTTTACTGCTGAACAATCTCACCAACTTAAAACTATTTAAACATTCTTAATGTGCCAGAAGAACTGCCTGCTGCTGGAGAGACTGGCAGGAATGCCAAGTCACCAGCTTACTTATCAGATATCCCACAATTTGAAGGCTCCATAGCAAAACTCACTTGTGTCTGGTCCAGAAGGCCTTCTCAGAGTCTAAGTCTCAGTGAAATGGATTTGAACACATCCTAAAGTCCCTGCACTGTGTCTCCTAACTAAAAGTTAAAGATATGGGACAGTTAAGCAGGTAAGGCATAGAAACCTATCCTTACAGCAATCTTGAGAAACTGCATCCAAAGTGCTGAGAGCTATGTGGAAAATCCCATGAATTGAGAGAGGAAGCTCCTGCTTGAGTAACTGACCTAAAAATACTTTTCCAAAGTAGAAATAACCCACCTCCACCCTTGAAAGAGTCAATTCTTTATTTTATAAACTAAAAAGCTTTTCTGTGTAATATACTGTTCAAAAACTCACCTTTACGCTTGCTTTCTGTAAACTGATTCTTGATTGAAAAAGACTAAGTTTAGACCTATAATAAAAATAGAAACGAACATTTAATAAGATTATGTCATAGTGAAATGACTTAATATTATAATTACTAAATTTTTCTGACTTTTTTGAGATACTGTTGTAATACTAAAATAAAAGCAAAAACCATGAGTTTATTTTACCACAGAAAGAATGTACTTTATATAAAGCACAAAATAGTGGGATTAACATAATAAAAATGTTCTCAATGACAGAAATATTCTTTGACAAAGAAAAATTTAAATATATTGGTATCTCCTAATAAACAAGACTCATCTAACTGTAAGTTATTCCCACTATCATACAACTTTACACACTTTAGTGTTTATAAGAAAAGTCAAAGAAACCCAGGGACAACCAGCCTGTGAAGCAAAGGTTATCAGGCCTTTGCGTGTAACAAGCTGTTAACAACATCAGAATGTAACCCAACAGACTCTGAAAAGTTCTTCCCATTAAAAATTGCTCACATTTGCTTGCTGACCTGTGTGCTCCCTCCATTCCTAAAGGTATTCTAATGTTACTGAGAAGGTCTTTGGACTCTCCGCCCTATATAATTTTGATTTTTCTATTTAATTATATTACACTCAGTACTAATAACATTTAGGAGAGAGGCACCATAATCTAACCAACAGTAGTAAAAATGTTAAGTTTTAACACATTTTAAGACTAGAGATAACGACACAGAGAAATTCAACAGATAATTGCTAAGGAAGAAAGCAAGGCTCCCATGGCCAGTGATTTTTCTAAAGCTACAAAGTTTGTCTTGACTGCAGTGTCATGGTGATTGCCATGGAAGAATTCAACACATGTGCTAGCAGCTATGCCTTAATATTAAGTATAGTCAGACCACTTGGGATTGGAAGACAAAGCAGACAGTCTCTGCAGAGTCACTCTGAAGACAACAGCAAAGCAGACTCAAGTCTAACAAAGACAAGACACTGAATGGTAAACACACACTTCCTGACTCTTCTCTACCACATTAAAAAGAAAAAAAAAAAAATGGGTCTAGGGCAGGAGATCTAACTCAGTGACTGAGTACCTGCCTAGTAGTACAAAGCCCTGTGTTCAATCACCAGCATAAAAAATTCAACAAAAGCCTGTTATTCCTGACCCTGATTATTTCTTACCTTATTCTATTTATATTTCTTGGGGATTTTTGTTTTTATTAATCAGATTTCTATTCATTTTGATCTAGAAAAACAAAGGCCACAGAGTTTAGACAAGAAAGTGCCTGTTTAGGGTAAGAAAGACTGTGTTTTAAGGTATTCTGAGTTCTCATTTTTCTGTAGTCATTATCCAAATAGGATGCATTGCCACCTAGATCTTCCAATGTAAGGTTTTAAGTTTCTGGCTTCTGGTTACCTGTTAATCTGCCTGTACTTCTTGCATGCATTCAAGTAATATTTGTGACAGAATAAGGTAGTTATGGGGTGGTGCTGGCAAGGTGGCTCTGTGGGTGAAGGTGCTTACTGTCAAGCCTGATGACCTGAGTTCAATCCCTGGGATCCACATGGTGGAAGGACAGAACAGATTCCCATGAGTTGTTCTCTGATCTCCACATGTGTGCTATAGCATGCCTGTGTACACACGTACACACACACACACACACACACACACACACACACACACACCATAAATCAACTGATCAGTCAATCTGGGGCTGAGGAGATGGCATAGTTGGTAAAGTGCTTGCCATTTTAGCATAAAGACCTGTGTTCAAATCCCAGTGCTGGGGAACTAAAGACAGGAGGCTCCCTGGACTTGCTGGTCACCTAGTCAAGCTGAATGAATGAGCTCCAGGTTCAGTGAGAAACACTGACTGAAAAAAAATAAGCTGGACAAGAAGTGAGAAAAATACATGATATCTACTTTTGACCTACAGACACACACACACACACACACACACACACATGCATGTGCACCCTCATATACATATACACAAACAAACACATATATATAAAGAATAAGATAGTACCTATCCTCAAAGACAGGTATTAGGAAGTGCTTTCTTACAAATTATATACTATACAAACCCTGAATATGCTGAATACTACTCTTTACCGTCAATCCTTCAATGTTAACGTTCTTTAAATTTCCAAACTCAATTTCACATCTCACTAGATATGTGACTACATCATTATAACTGCCATTTAATAAGCAAATAATGACTCCTAAAGTGAGATCTTCGTACTAAATTATCACAAAAGCACAAATATTTGACTACCTACCAAACATACCCATGCAGTATCTAACAGATGCTTTAAAATCTATACCTCAAAATGGTCTCCTTCAACTGTATCCTTTTCCCTTCTGTGATCTCTCCTATGGTGCCTGTTAGCATCTGTCAAATCACCTACCAACAATGTATATGGTCCATTTTTCACTCCCCCTTACTGACATTCCTCTCTTAACTTAAAAATAATCATATTTATCTTCAAGAATGTTCAAATATCACTGCTTCTATAAAGGTTTCCCTTATCAACTCTGGGTGTGGTAGCACATGACCTTAATCTCAGCAGAGGCAGGCAGAGCTCTGTGAGATGGAGGCCAGCCTAGTCTACATAGTGAGCTCCAGGTAGGTTAGGACTAGGGAGATTGTCAAAAACAAACAAACAAACAAACAAACAAACAAACAACAAAAAAGCTTTCCCTTATCATTAGGAAAAATCAGTCGATTCATTTTTTGTCCTTTCATTACTAATAGTTGCTAAGCACTACTTCTTTTGAGTTTACTGTGAATGGACAAACTATAAAGCTATGCTTAAAAACATATCCTTATTATAGGCTCCAAATTCAAGGACACAGCTTACTTTACCTTACTCACTTCTGTACACAGGGTACCCAACATAAAGTAAGTATTCAATGAGCTTTGAGCGAATGAATGAAGAAATGGTTCTGTAACTGAATTAATTTTCTACAGAAGTTACATACTGAACTTAAATGCTTCACTTTGAATTCCAGCCATATTAGAAAGCAGCTCTGTGTGCTTAGCTGTGAACTAGACACCATCAAGTAGTCAGTCAATGCTGCATTTTCACCTTGTGTACCACGGCTAGTTTGGGTATTTATATAATCTCTATGAATTTGTGAATTCTCAGATCTAGAATCTCTGAGAGGTTAAAAAACAGGTTCCTAAACCCCACCATGACTGGAGATTCCCCATGGAGATTTCCCCAATTTAAAACCTTCAGGTCTTAGTTAGAACATGGGTCCAGTGACTTTGTGAAAGTATAGGAATTAACTGTATACTCAGAAAACAAAGCAATATAACAAAACACTAAATTACAGGAATGTTAGATATGTTTCCCTGTAACAATAAGAACTTAAACATTCATTTACCATGTCTTTGTATGAACTTAAATTTCCAGAAACCCTCTAAATTTTCACAAAAGGCTTATGAAGTTTTAAAAATTTCTTGGAAATAGAAGATCAGAATGTTCAAGTTCTTCTGGGCATGACAGGACAGCTGTACTCATTAACTCACTGCAGATCTGGTTGCCTGGTAGTCTGCATAAGAGGTGCACAAGATCAAGCCAGTCAACCTTCCAGCATTTGGGGTTGGGGGAGGCTCATGAGTTACTGACTGACACTTGATTGCTTTTGTGAAGGGCAATCAGCTTTCATTAAGGGTTTGGTCCCTTGTAAGCCTACCACACTCCAATGGTTGGCCCCACACCCTTGAACCCTTCAGTATATGGGCAATACAATTGAACTATTTAAAAAACAAAACAAAACAAAAACGTTACTACATTGTGTGTGTGGGGGGGGGGGAGATACAATTGGATCTTGGAGGAGTTAGGAGGAGGAGTGGGGTGAATAGTATTAAAATACATTTGTGTGCATGTATGAAATTCTCAAAGAATTGATTAAAATATATTAAATATCTTGCAGATTAAAAAAAGAACATGCTAGATGTCATCTCCCTCCTTGCTAGGATGTCCAGGGTTGAGTTCAAGGCTGTCTGAGTTCATGCCTAGAAGTTCAGGTTCCTGGAGTCAGTAAATGAACAGGAGTCTCAGCTTTCCTGCTTACAGATATCTTCAGAATCCTGTTCTATAACATTTTTTTTCTCACCAACATAGCAGATACTGTCAAGTTATCATTGCAAAAATCTCTACTTCATTGTGTGATTTAATCTCCTATACTCTCAGTACCTTCTTTTCCTTGTTACTGACAAAATAAAGCACTATAATGAATATACACTGAAAGTGAAAATAACCCAATCGCTAAAACGTATTTTTTAAGTGTGTATTACATTTCATGTAAAATAAAAACACAGTGTTTAGGATAGGTTTACACGCAGACCAGCTCTTGTTCCTGATGTGCCATGGTCCTTCAATGACATTCTTAGGATCATAGAGGTTTATAATAATTACTGTAGTATGATAAAAATGGGGCTTTTAAATCCTGATTTTCAAATACCACAGCAATTTAAAACTGTCAGTAAGCTTTCAAGTCTGTAATATGTCATTTATCTTTTTTCCTTCTCAAAATTCAAATTCATAATCCAACATTCTCATTTTGCTATATTAATAACAATAAAAATCAGCAAATAGAAGAGAAAATATGATCTACCAAACAAAATACATAGAAGTCAAATGAATCCAACAAAATCTAAGAACAAGTCTAGGCCTTACATTATCAGAGAACAAAGCATTAGCAAAGATAACATTTATTTGCATACTCATTTTCTTGGAAATACTAAACACCTACTTTGCCTCGATGTCAGCTTTCTCTCTTACTGCATGAGCCATCTGTTCAGTCTCAAAGTATTTCTTTTTGCCTTTAGCTAAATCTTTCACGGTCTCTTGTAATTCTGTTTGGATCTTTGTCAACTGGTCCACACACTGTAAACACAAAAGTACAATTATTATAATTTTAGTTTTTAGGATTGCAGAAAATGAGTTCGTCCTAAGGACTGTGCAATGTATCTTCAGGATGAAAACACAGGAGAAGAATCAGCACATTTAGTGTCCTTCAAATTGCAAATTAAATCTGGTAAACAGCTTGCACTGCCATCTCAAGTACTATACCAAATAGTATTACAGTTTGCCTAGCAATCATGCTTTGAGAGATAACTCCAGTGCTACTGCTGACTGACATTTCAGTAAGGCATAAGAAGAGCATATATGCTGTTGTAAATATGTTAAAAAGGCAGAAGAATAAAGCAATTCTTTTCATGTTCTTAATGAAGTCTATTCTAAATATCAAGAAGATAAAGGAATAGGATGACTAAGATGGGGCTAGAGCGATGGCTCAGCAGTTAAGAGTTCACACTGCTCTGGCAGGGGTCCTGAGTTTGGTTTCCAGCACCTACATCAGGTAGCTCACAACTGCCTGTAATACCACCTTCAGGGGATCCAACACCCTCTTTGGGCCTCCGCAGGTACCTGCACTCATATGCAGGCACAGAAACACACACACACACACACACACACACACACACACAAATAAAACTTTGGGGAAGAAAGGGGGGTTCAGATGTCTTCAATTCTAGCACTCAGGAGCAAAGGCAAGCAGAGCTTTCTGAGATCAAGGCCACCGTGGTCTACATACGGAGTTTCAGGCCAGTTGGTGACATGGGGGGTGGCCTTTCTCAAGAAAACAAACAAACAAAAAAGTCTACTATGGTAAAGGAATTGTATTCATTTTTCTATAAATATTAAACTTAAAACGGTTTTTAAAAATTATAGAGTTTAGAAATTAAGGAGTATATTCAAGTTCCTGTTCTGCTATTTACTACCTAAATCTTTTAAATATTCTTGCCTCATTTTCAGCATTTATAAAATAATAATACATTCCTACCCACATGGTTATAAAAATTAAATGAGATTCTACTAGATATGGTGGTAGCAGGTTAACTCTAAGGTGCTAGACAAATGTGGGTCACAATACTTCTTTATGTGTATCTGTGTGGTATTGGGCCTTGCAAGGCAAGCATTCACTTTACCACCAAGCTACTTCCCAGCCTCTGAATCACAATTATTTCAAAGAAGGTAAGTATACTATACTATAAAAGACAAAGATATGAGTAAATAAATTTAAGAATGGCAAAAAACCTTAGCTAACTCTAGCTTCTGTTTTGATTTATAAGCAAATGTCACCATATAACAAAAAAATTATCTGGGCCAGATATGGTGGCACATGTCTATAATCCTAGCACCTGGGAGGTAGAAATAGGAAGATCAGGAGTTCAAGGCCAGCCTCAGCCACATAGTAAGTTCCAGGCCAGCCCAGGCTACAACAAAACAACACAACAACAACAACAATAATAAACTCATCTGGAAAAGTCTATGGTATTGTTTTATAATCATTTCTTACTATAATTTCCCTTATAATCTCAGGCCCTTCATAACTGCAACATATCTCTACATATATTTTAAATTTATTTTTTAATTTTATGTACCAGTATTTTGCCTGTATGAAAGTGCACCATGTGCAATGCCTGTGCAGGCCAGAAGAGGGCATCGGATCCCCTGGAACCGGAGTTACCATGTTTTTTTAGCTGCCCTGTGGATACAGGGAATGGAATCCAGGACCTCTGCAAGAGCAGCCAGTGCTTTTAACTGCTGAGCCATCTCTCAAACCCCTTAGCATTATATTTTAAAAACCAAACAAAATAGAGAAAAACTAAAAGGAATGTGAACTTTAAAATGTCATAGAGAAAGCTGGGCATGGTGATGTATGCCTGTAATCTCTGCACTTAGAGGCAAAGACCAACTGCCACAGGATCAAGACTAGCCTAGTCGACAAAGCAAGATCCAAAGCCAACTAGAGATGTACCGTGAGACCCTGTCTCAAACCAAAAACTAAACATAAATTTAAAATGTTGTAGCAGAGAGTTCTGACTCAAAATTAGTTCTGATAATGAAAGTACAATTTAGATCTGTCTACCCCATCGTCAGTGAAGCATGGAAGTTTGCAGAGTGCACACTGGACCATGGGACTAGGAGTACTGGGAGAAAAGGTGCACACCCAGATAAGCTTTTCATGATTTTCTCTCCACTCAGAGCATTTATCAAGTCATGGTACAAAGAAAGAGGCTATAAACACAAAGTGGTAGTCTGACTTCACTCTGCAGAGATAGCTTGGCCAAAGAGCAGGAACCTATAAAGCAAAGATCTAGAAAGAAGGGTACTACGGAGGATCAAGTCCAAAAAGCCAAATGCAATTTCCCCTTGTGTCATTAGTTGACTTCTAAAAGGCATGTGTGGGATGAAACTCAAAGAAATCTGTAAACAGTATCTGAGAGCCAGTGGCTGAGCAGCGATCAGAGAGTAAGAGCAACCACATGTTGCTGAGAAAGAACAGAGGTGAAGACTTACCCACAGAAAAAGATGGTAAGTACCCCACAGTTGCAGTTAAGTACAGAGCAATAAATGAGCTAAACCAGCTTTGAAAAATCTCCAAACCTGACCCTAAAAGAATAAGGTCTAGCATCTTGCCTACCTGCCAAACGTCATCCTCTTTAGCAGAGGTCTCCCAGAGCCTCCAAAATTTTTATCCATAACATCAAGTGCTGTGAGGCACACTGAAACAGTAGACCCAAATAAAAGATGGCACACAATAAAATTCATATAGAATTGTGAGTATTATGTTTACCATGATAAAGGAAAAGGGATGTGGCTCAGTGGTAGAAAGCTTTCCTAGCCTACACAGGCCCTAGGTTCAATCTGTAGTAATGCAAAAAAAAAAAAAGGGGGGGGGGATACATAAAAAAGAAAACAGAATAAAAGAAAAACATGAAGAACTGCACCTGAAACATGGGATCTATTTTTTAAAATT